CAAAACCCCAAAACCCCAAAACCCCAAAACCCCAAACCCAAAACATGAGACAAAATTAGAAATTTAGCGATTAATCAAAATAAATTTTTAATGGGTTAATAATTAGCAATCTGCTGTGAGAAGAGAGAGAAGTTAAGAATACCAGCTGGAGAAGACGATTTTCAAGACTTTAGAAACGACTATTATTAGCAATTAATGGTATAATAAGATAGGGAGGCTTACTATTAGAATTACAGAGGTGGAAATAATCCAACTTTAACTAGTCAGGGCTCTGCATCAGAACCAATAAGTCCATTTCATAATGGAATTGAGCAAGCAAAAGGTGGAAAGGGCAAATAAAGGCATAATGGATCTTTTGTCTATCATAGAAAAGGTTAAGCCTTACAAAATATACCAGGTAGACATACTAATAGAGTTAGTCTCGGCTAAAGAGGTAAATATTCTACCAGAGATGAAACATTATCTGACAATCAGGATGACAGATAGCATTCAGTTCGTAACAAATAGAGAGTAAAGAATACCTTGAACTTTATCAATAAAAAGATTACTTAGATGCAAGATGACGATGATTCATTCAAGTATACAGAAACCCCAGGTGGTATTCTTAGTGGCACTCCTGGAGAGGGCTTAAATGATTCATTTACTAGCTCTAATGATAAATTTACTATGGACGAAGAAAATGTAGTACTTTTTCATGATAAATGCTAGATTGAGAAGTTTTTCTCTGATTTGCCAAAACTACAAAATTATTTCTATTTATAAAGTGGGAGATACTATGTGCCTTCAATATTATGTAATAGTCCAAGAGATCTTAGGGAGGAAGCAATGATTGTATTAAGAAATTGTGATTTATTGTAAAATTACTAAATTAAGCATATGAAATCGAGTAAATTAGCTGAGAACTTTAAAATACATCATTTTGCCTTTTTAGATAATAAGCCAATCAACTGGAAAGATTAACTGCTTAATGATCTGAAAAACTTTTGCTTAAATGATGGACTTGAGTTAATAGGGGCAATTAATGATTATCAAGGATTTAGCACTGAAAGCTAGATTAATTAGGGACCTATAGGTAAAAGTTTTCAACTTCTGTTTTATAAATAGCCAAAGTACAATAAAAGCTTAAGGTTCAATTTCTTTATTGAAATTATTTATGAGGATATGTAGTAAAAAGAACTGTAGGAATTTATAAATAAAAAAGCACTTGAGGAAAGCGGGGTGTTTAGAACATGCCTAACTGTATATGAGAAACCGAAAAGAAAGAAAGTAAATGGTCATGCTAATTATAATGATAAGGGGCAGCTCAATTTAGAAGTTTTTTGCCATATTCTAGTATTCGAAAAAAGAAAAGATGAAGACGAGGAAAAATTCACTATGGTCTTTAAAGGAAGCAGAGATTATGAGAACGATCCTTCAATAAAGATCAATGAATTTTTATATAGAGAGGAATTGTGCTAGAAGTTTAGAATAGCCGGATTTCTTCCTAAAAACTCCTTCGAGGAGTCATTGTTTATTTTCTCAGCCTAATGAAATCTTGCAAATTAAATATTATAAAAAGTATAATATTTTATGAGTAATAGTGCTAATTATTTAACTCTATTACAAAAAACTACTTAAATAAAGCTAATGGGGTTTTGGGGTTTTGGGGTTTTGGGG